GGTGGTTCTGTTGCCGATGGTGCAGGTGCTGGTTTAAGACAGTCCCCTTTGCATTTGAACTGTGGCCCAGCTTGTGTCTGGTATATTTATGGGTCCCGCAGAATACATTAAGAATAACCGCAGAGTGGCAAACAGGCTCGTTTTCGTTTATTCCTAGTCGTGTCATTACATAGCATAAAATATGACTAACAACAAGAACAAACGGGGAATGAGAGGTTCGGGTCCTAATGGTTTAACTACGGCTCCAGTCATGTGTGTATGTGTGAAATTGCTCACACAGCGTCAAAAGTTCAACGGATTGCACAGATATTTGGGGTTGGAGGAAGTGGGACAGGGGAGATTTGGTGCTTGCGCCAATTTTTTTTGCACACTGGGCTGGTTCGTGAATCCGGATACTTACAGTTTCAACCGTGGCTAAGATACGATGCCTCAATGTTTTTGCTTGCCTATATCGAACTTTGTAAATCAATCGGTCGAAACTCACTTGCCACATCAATCGAGTGATTTGACTCAACGAGATGCAAACATTCCTTGATTAGTTCTTGTTGGTATCGCCATATTTATTGTTATGTAATGGAAGGATTACAAATAACTGGAAACTAGAATGTTCACCACGCCGTTGTTCTTGACGATTTATCAGATGGAAAACGGAAAGATATAAGACGCAGAAAAAACACCGGGGTCAGTGTTTGATATCCCGGGGCAGAAATCGAGGGAGATTGTGGACGATCACGATTCCTTAAAACGGTGTCCAGGTAAACATTGGCAGTGACAAACGCATCCTTATCACTGATTGTCAGCAAACCTGTACAGTGTAGAGAAAACCCAATCCAATAGTTAAATCCGAAGTTTTTGGTGGTAATTGATCCCATGGATTCGGTACATATTCGTGTAATGGATAGCATATACACGATATATATCTATGAAAAAGTGTTTTCCAGTTTTCTAATCGTGACTTTCTTTTACAAATGTTATCAAACTTGCGGAAGGGAAAGGCCAGTTATTCCAGTAAACATTCATCTTCTCGTTTGCATATAGTGCTTCTCCCTCGGCCGTTTCGTTAGCAGTCAAAGTTAAAGCTCAAAGTTTTTTATTATCGGAATAACTTATAAGCTTAAGCTTTTCTCATCTCATTGGTTCGTATTGTGATTAAAAGACAATTTTGCATACAATTTCACGTGTAAAAATGTCAAGTGATATGGGTTTCCTTTTTTTCTGCAAACAGACTCACTTACGTTGGAATGTAAGGCTTCATAAAATTTTAGGTTGAACGATTACCTCTGAGATGAATGTTGGATGAGAATTTTGTCAACGGACTTAGGTTTTGTATTATTTGGTGTACCGTAATCATATCTCTTCTGATGCGCTGTTACTGATCGGAATATAACCCCAACGAATCCAGTTTCTTTGTGTATGATTAACGATTCAACCCTTGAACTACCTTGGTAGCCATCCTTTATGGACGCTACAGCATTTCGAAATCATGTTGCAGCCATAACTCTCATGTCTGGAAAGCGTACACTGTGAGTGGACAAATGTATGCTGATAGCAGACAGCGAAAAAGCGCTGACTCAAACCGGTCAAAGATCCGCTTAAACAAACCGGAATTCTTCACAGCAACACGTTCGACATCCTGACGTAGTTCAGTTAGCAGCTTAAGTTTTCTTTAATGATGATACCCAGGTCCTTCTCACTTGTGTCATGATAGAAAAGTGAGTCTCAAGAACTAGATACGATAGAATTAAAGGTTCAAATTTACGCAAATTTATACAAAAGACGCTCCTGAAATTTGATTTAGCTTCTGAGATAAATAAACAGATGGACTACAAACCTTACCCTCTGTGCAACCTGAAAGTGTATCCTTCAAGCATATCAGCAGTATTTTTTTGTGTTTCAAGGCTAAACGATAAGTTTTCACAAAAAGGAATTCGGTTCTATGATAATTATTCAGAATGTTTCCTTGAGTGTGTTTTAGGATCAGAATCGATCACATGCGACGTATATTCAAAGTAATGCATTTAAAATATAATGAAAGTACTAATAAGTGGATAAATTTGTCGTGAAACGGAGGTGTCAGCTGAAAAGGTAAAAAGCATAACTGGACAGCAGTTGAAACTTGGTTGGGTCTTATCAGCACATATAGCGAATCCGTCGGTCTAACCAAGTCATAAACCTGGAGGTTAGTGCTAAGCTTATCGAAGCATGAGACCTGTAGCAAGCTTGCGAAAATGGCTTGTGTTACATCGCATACGTGGAGAGAACGAAAAACGCTCTGATGTGCTGCCCCGAGGTGACTGAATGGGTAGGTAGCATGTTTGCGTTCTGCCTGTGAGGTCCCAGATTCGCTATCGCCAGTTGGGTGGATTGATTCGCGCACTGTGCTGATGAGACCCAACCAGGTCGAAACAGCTATTGTCCAGTGCTTCTCAGC